TAACCCTGCAGTAAGTACTCTGTGTGTATGCAGAATGACGTGTGATGATGAGGCCAATGTGCCCTGAGGAAGTGGTTCTTTCTGGCAGAGCATTGACTTTGAAAGTTCCTGATTGACTGTTTCTATACCTGTGTGATCTGCTCTGTATCATAAACAAAAAAGGATCCATCATCCTTTATATACAAAAAGAAGAGGGAAAAACAAACATTCTTTAGGATAATTTATTTAACTGTCTGTTATTTATGTAGAAATGTGTATTTGTGTTCCTGTATGTACCACTCCCCTTCCTTGGAGTGCCGTATTGGGTCTGAATTCTGAAAAAAAAGAGAGAGCTCCCATGATGCATTGGGTGCTTGTCCTGCTTTGCTCCACAACCTCTGCCGTCAGCCAGCATAAGGGGTGACCACATAGATACATATTTTGTAAATGTCAGATATTGAAATTATATTCAAGTTTCTCTCTCACTGCAGGCAAACGTAGTAAAGTATTGCTTGGACTAGAATTCATCAATATTAATATTCTAATTCATATTATGTAGTCATAAGAGAGAAAGTTGTGCTAAGGTTCCTTTATTCTTCAGAATCTGGATTCTCCGGCCCGCTTACCTAATGGCGTGGAAAAACTTCCAGACAAAACGTCGAGGCCAGACCGGCCAAGAGCACGTGACCGACCCAAACCCAGAAGAAGGCCTCGTCCTAAGGATCCAAACCAAGCACCAGGGGAGGCCCGGAGATCCCGCTCAGCACCAGCGCAAAGCAGCGTCCCTCCTCTACCTCCTCCAACCCACACTGTACAACAGGAAGGATACCTCATCAGGAAACATGAGCTGGATGGACCAAGCAAAAAAGCCTCAAACAGGTGCAGACAGGGAGCCCCTGCACGCAGACAGGGAGCTGTCCCAGCACAACCATAAACTGCAATAAACATAAATCTAAACGTGCCAGACATGGTGATGTTAGAACATTTGACCTAATCTGCCTTTATATTGGGGGGCTTAATCTTTCTTTTTTATTTGTAATAATTTATATAGGCCCAAAAAAGTTTCAGTGTTTTTTTTAAAGAATACATTTCACATAAATCCTTCCCTCTGAAGGAGCTTGCAGTCTAATGTCCCTATCAGTTATACTGCATATTCTAGGACCAATTTGGGTGAAAGTCAATTAACTTACATGTATGTTTCTAAATTGTGGGGGGGGGAATAAAATTGAGGACATCCATGTATACAGGAAGAGAAAATGTAGAGATCTGCAGTGCTGCATAGCAAGAGTGCTAACCATTAAATCATATCCAAATGGGTGAAAGTCTGTTAGTGTGTTCTCAGATGTAAACATGTTCCACAGAGTGCCATAAGAACACACTAACAGACTTTCACCCATTTGGATATGATTTAATGGTTAGCATTCTTGCTATGCAGCACTGCAGATCTCTACATTTTCTCTTCCTGTACATTTTACATTCCCCCACAATTTAGAAACATACATGTAAGTTAATTGACTTTCACCCAAATTGGTCCTAGAATATGCAGTATAACTGATAGTGATATTAGACTGCAATACTTGCAATAGTAGAGATAGAGAATGGTAGACTGCATTGGATGGTAGAGATTTTTTGTCCTCTGGTCATAAGCCACTTGGTCCACCCATGGACAATCAACAAAATTGGCCCTTGTGGCTTATGACCAGAGGACATAAAATCTCTACCATCTAATGTTCCTTTGTGGTGGAAGTTGGCCAGGAGCACAAACGCTACTATGGTGCTAACTGTTAAGGCATTTAAGTTTGAGTCTCCATCTACTAAGAGACAGGTAAAAGTAGGATTCTTATCAGGGCATGCGGGAAAACACCAATACTTTCATCTGCGTCATTGTTTTCAAATAGGCCTAAGTGAATCAATGACATGACTTAGCCCACGTTTCACTAATGAAAGCCCAGGCCACACTGCAAATATGACTGCAGTACTTGCATAGACTTCACACAAGGGTGGGGTTTGTCCCATGAGCTATTCCTATGGTGTATGTTCCCTGAGCTCTTCCTATGGTGTATGTCCCCCGAGCTCTTCCATTGGTGTATGTCCCCCGAGCTCTTCCATTGGTGTATGTCCCCCGAGCTCTTCCTATGGTGTATGTCCCCCGAGCTCTTCCATTGGTGTATGTCCCCCGAGCTCTTCCATTGATGTATGTCCCCCGAGCTCTTCCTATGGTGTATGTCCCCCGAGCTCTTCCATTGGTGTATGTCCCCCGAGCTCTTCTTATAGTCTATGTCCCCTGAGCTCTTCCTATGGTGTATGTTCCCTGAGCTCTTCCTATGGTGCATGTCCCCTGAGCTCTTCCTATGGTGTATGTTCCCTGAGCTCTTCCTATGGTGCATGTCCCCTGAGCTCTTCCTATGGTGTATGTTCCCTGAGCTCTTCCTATGGTGCATGTCCCCTGAGCTCTTCCTATGGTGTATGTTCCCTGAGCTCTTCCTATGGTGCATGTCCCCTGAGCTCTTCCTATGGTGTATGTTCCCTGAGCTCTTCCTATGGTGCATGTCCCCTGAGCTCTTCCTATGGTGTATGTTCCCTGAGCTCTTCCTATGGTGTATGTTCCCTGAGCTCTTCATATGGTGTATGTCCCCCGAGCTCTTCCATTGGTGTATGTCCCCTGAGCTCTTCTTATAGTGTATGTCCCCCGAGCTCTTCCATTGGTGTATGTCCCCTGGGCTCTTCTTATAGTGTATGTCCCCCGAGCTCTTCCTATGGTGTATGTTCCCTGAGCTCTTCCAATGGTGCATGTCCCCTGAGCTCTTCCTATGGTGTATGTTCCCTGAGCTCTTCCTATGTTGTATGTTCCCTGAGCTCTTCCTATGGTGTATGTTCCCTGAGCTCTTCCTATGTTGTATGTTCCCTGAGCTCTTCCTATGGTGTATGTTCCCTGAGCTCTTCCTATGGTGAATGTTCCCTGAGCTCTTCCATTGGTGTATGTCCCCTGAGCTCTTCTTATATTGTATGTCCCCCGAGCTCTTCCTATGGTTTATGTTCCCTGAGCTCTTCCTATGGTGTATGTCCCCTGAGCTCTTCCTATGGTGTATGTCCCCTGTGCTCTTCCTATGGTGTAGGTCCCCTGAGCTCTTCTTATAGTGTATGTCCCCTTAGCTCTTCCTATGGTGTACGTCTCCCTGAGCTCTTCCTTTTTTGTATGTCTTCCTGAGCTCTTCTTATGGTGTATGTCCCCCGAGCACTTCACCTGGTGTATGTCCCCCGAGCACTTCACCTGGTGTATGTCCCCCGAGCACTTCACCTGGTGTATGTCCCCCGAGCACTTCACCTGGTGTATGTCCCCCGAGCTCTTCTCATGGTGTATATCCCATGTGCTCTTCCTATGGTGTATGTCCCCTGAGCTCTTCTCATGGTGTATGTCCCCTGTGCTCTTTCTATGGTGTATGTCCCCTGAGCTCTTCTCATGGTGTATGTCCCCTGAGCTCTTCTCATGGTGTATGTCCCCTGAGCTCTTCTCATGGTGTATGTCCCCTAAGCTCTTCTCATGGTGTATGTCCCCCAAGCTCTTCTCATGGTGTATGTCCCCCAAGCTCTTCTCATGGTGTATGTCCCCCAAGCTCTTCTCATGATGTATGTCCCCCAAGCTCTTCTCATGGTGTATGTCCCCCAAGCTCTTCTCATGGTGTATGTCCCTTGAGCTTTTCCTATGGAAACTTTTATGAATCAAGTGGGGTCATCTTTGTTTGCCACTTTGCTACGAGCATCTCTCTGTCTCGCAATGAGCCGTGTAGGTCTGCAGCAGTAGATGGTGGGTCAGGTGCTTTCTAAAATGCATAGTGTCAGCAATAGTCACTTGTCTGACACAATGGCATATACCACCAAAGCTGAGGTACAGCAGAGACTTTTATACCATGTCATTGCATTCAAGCCAGTGTGACTGGTAGACATTTTTAGTTGCTGTTACCGGAAGGTTGGCTTTATGTGTTCTTTCCCTGTTTTTTGTAGGTCCTGGGTAAACTTGTACTGTGTGCTGAACAAAGGGGACATGGGGGTCTACAAGGATGCAAAAAGTCAAAGTTCAGGAGCAACACATGGAGGTGAACCCCTTCTGAATCTAAATGGAGCTTCCTGCGAAATAGCCAATGAGTACAAGAAAAAGAAGTTTGTCTTTAAACTCAGGTAATCAATCCGCCTTAAAAAAAATCCTGCTCCATCTACTACAGCCATAGCCAAAAATAATCAGGGGAACTTTCAGCTGCATTTTATCTACTGCTGAAATGTTTTCATTTAAAGTGTTCGCTCTGGTGACAGAAAATATTTTTTTTTCCTTTTGTAGGTCGACAGATGGAAGAGAGTTCCTCTTTCAGGCTAAAGATGAGGTAAATCACCCAAACTGTCAGTTTTTTTAAACTGTTCCCTTTTTTTTTTTTTTTTTAACTGTTATGTGACACTGAGGAAGTGATACATCAGTGGGGGGTACAGGAGGTGCCATAGCTACCTGGGCTGTAGGGCCTAATGAGATGTTAGCCTTCATTTATCTTCTAACATTAACAACTTCAATACAACCCATAAAGGCTTCAGAGTGTGTGTGTGTGTGTGTGTGTGTGTGTGTGTGTGTGTGTG